AATTTTTTCTTATTTTCATTAAAATTTCTTGACAGTGCCTCTCCCACTATCATCTGCTCTCCTTTTGCACTCCCTCACCACTCTCTTCACCTTTCTTTTACTCTCCATATACTCTGCTCTTCTTATAACACTTCTGCTTTGTAAAAATCTCTCATAAGCTAACTTTTTCTCTTTTATCACACCCTTTACTTCATCATTCCACCAATCACTCCTCTTTCCACCTGCCCCCACCCTCCTATAATTTCCTATAATTTCCCTAATATCAACTCTATAACTTATTTATCTATCACAATTCATCTAATATGACATAATAAACAATATTAATAACATAGAAACATGATATATACACTAGAATGAATAAAATACATGTCATTACATATGTGGCTAGTGGTGACAGCAGCCATTGTTGTTGTTGGGGTTTAAAGGGCCACCACAGTAGCCATTCCTGCTCCTGACTACATGTGTAGAGAACCTAGGACAATCCAAAAAAGTCAGACAGTGACTTATAATTGCTGCACTCTTAATGTTACACTTAACTGCTACACCCTTAATGCTATACTTAATTGCTACACCCTTAATGCTACACTTAATTGCTACACTCTTAATGCTACACTTAATTGCTACACTCTTAATGCTACACTCTTAATGCTACACTTACCTGCTACACTCTTAATGCTACACTCTTAAATGCTATGCTGTCACTGATCCTTCTGCTTTAGTATTGTACATATCGTAAAGTGGTACGCTGGTACTGCCTGGCCAAGTCCTTAACCCTCCACCTAGTTTGTTTACCTATGATTTCCTGCTTTAATTCCATGGAAATCATCCTCTTTTTCTTCTCAGCACTGTCCTTTACACTTGCTTCCTTAGGACCCATGGTTAGAAACAAGAAATTTTGCAAAATAACTGCACAGAACATAAGGAAAACACGAGAATTCCCTCCACTGTGAGTGGAGTGGACTGCCATCTCATGGTGGCGTTCAGAAACTCACTTATAGTATAGGGTACAACAAGGCCTGCCACTGCTGTTTCATGTTGTCTGCCACTGCTGCTTCATGATGTCTGCCAATTCTGCTTCATGATGTCTGCCACTGCTGCTTCATGATGTCTGCCACTGCTGCTTCATGTTGTCTGCCACTACTGCTTTATGTTGTCTGCCACTGCTGCTTCATGTTGTCTGCCACTGCTGCTTCATGTTGTCTGCCACTGCTGCTTCATGTTGTCTGCCACTGCTGCTTCATGTTGTCTGCCACTGCTGCTTCATGTTGTCTGCCACTGCTACTTCATGATGTCTGCCACTGCTGCTTCATGTTGTCTGCCACTGCTACCTCATGATGTCTGCCACTGCTGCTTCATGTCTACCACTGCTGCTTCATGTTGTCTGCCACTGCTACCTCATGATGTCTGCCACTGCTGTTTCATGTCTGCCATTGCTGCTTCATGTTGTCTGCCACTGCTGTTTCACATTGTCTGCCATTGCTACCTCATGATGTCTGCTCCCACTTTTGCTAGCATGTTGAAGAGCTTTCCAATATGTGAAGGTTGAGGGGAAATTGGACAGGCACTGGACGGTGACATCATTTGTTTACTCTTGAACATTGCCAACAAATCGAACACTTCTGCTACCTCGAGTTCAATTTCAAGGTACTTTTCGTCATGAAACCAATCAAAATCATATTTATTTGTGTATATATCTTCCATTCTATCAAATGAGACCAAAAAAAACGAGAATACAGTATACCGCTAAGGGGAGGCTAATGGCTAAGAAGTGAACTCCATTATTTATGGTTCGATTTCTTTCATTTCTGGTGTACATTAAGAAGCATCTTTCCATCATACATTGCCCTAGTTTCAATAAGATAGTCCAGCAAACAACTGAGATCCAATTCCCTATATCAAGAGCAAGAGCCCCCTCACCAGTGTCAACGAACCTCCCTTGAGGCCCGCTCACATCTAGAAATTTCGCTCGCATCTGGAAGCAAAAATCGACCAAGACTGCTCGTCTGGAAAAACTCACACGTGGATGCACTCATAAGTAGAAGTTCCACTGTATAGGCTTATTTATGTCAGGTCAGCCTAAACTAGAATAATTTTTGTCACTGTCAAGAATGTGCAGAGAGCAACACATTAACCCTTTCAGGGTCAAAAGGCCCTCTCCTAAACTTGTTCTCAGGGTCGAAAATTTTTCGGGAAAAAAAAAATTAATTTTTCTAATGATATCATAGAGAATCTTTTCCCGATCATAATGGCACCAAAATTGTGAAATCTGATGGAAAACCTATGGAATTATGCTCTCGCGAAGTTAGTCTCGATGATGTTTATGCATTGGCAATTTCGCCCACTTTGAGCCCTATTTTTGGCCAATTCCAGTGTACTAGTCGACAAAAATCATAGCTATTTCGCTAGAACTCCATTTTTTCTATTGAATGAGTACATGAAACCACCAATTTACCGATTTCAACTATCCAATACAGTGGTCAGAATTTAGCAATTTTGCCAATTTCACACAAATTTCAAATGATGCCAATTTCCAAATAGGGTCCAGAATAAACGAGAAAGACATTTCTGGCACTAAAATAACATTTCCTCTGTTCATTAGTCACATCCCCAGGCCTCTCTTACATTTCTTTTGCTTTCCACTTTGAATTTTTATTCTCACAAAAAAAAAAAATAGAAGATTTACTGCTATGCAGACTACTGCATTAGTGTAGAAATGGTATAAATAATATCAGCACACTTGTGAAAGAATATTAGACTCACCAGTTGACGTGTATTGAATGCTTAGCATGATTTGTTTACTTTTGAACTTTGGTAAAAATCGAACATTTCTGCTACTTTGAGCTCAATTTCAAGGTACTTTTCATTGTAAAACCAGTCAAAATCATTGCAATTTCTGTAATATATCTTCCATTCTATAAAATGAGACTAGGAAAACTAGAATACAACCATAAATACCATACGAAAATACAGTGCAAAGTCGCTGTTTTAAACCAAAAACACGGTCAAAGTTTTTTTTTTTCTCGTTACGCACTGTGCTGCAGGATTTTTTTATACTGCGCACACTGACCACATAGACCCATTCTTTCATATGTAGGCCTACCAGCTTTCTCTTGCTAGATTTGAAGGCGCTAGAATTTATGCGTATGTACTAGTACGTCACGGACACAGGCATGTAAGCCGTACTAGCACAGCCGAAACCCTGAAAGGATTAATTCATTCCAGAAGTCTGTTCGGGTGCCGTTACCGAACGAATTTGTTCCCATAAGGAATATTGTAAATTAGATTAGCCTGTTGCAGACCCCCAAAAATACACGTACAAAAGCACTTACAAAAATACACTTACATAATTGTTCGAGTTGGGAGCTGATCGTAAGGCGGGGGTCCACTGTATTCTTATACATAATCATCAAAATATCTTAAAATTTTCCATCAATCCACACCCACATAAAGAATTACATGAACATTATCAAAGTTATTAACCAACAGACTATACTGCACTATACAGAATCTTTTCTTCTCCCCACATCTCCCTTTTCTGTCTCCCAACCGTATTCTTGTCTCTTGGAATAGGCCACTCTGAAAGATGGGAACTCCCAGGTATTATAATAATTCCAGCTCTGCTGGAAGGAAGCCTTTGAAGCTTTTGTAGCTACTGAATTCTCTGTGGAATACTTAACAGTATCCTCATTTCTCTGCCGATTTCATCATTTCATTTTTTTAATAAGTCAGCCATCTGAGGTACAGAGACCCAAAAAAGAAGAAACACACTCATTATTACTCATTCCATCACTGTCTTGCCAGAGGCATGCCAATACACAGTTTAAAACTGCAAATATCCTCACTTCTGCTTCAGAGTGAAGGCACTGTGCTTGCCATCTCTAGGACTCCAGTCTGCCTAACTGGGTTCCCTGAATCCCTTCATAAATGTTGCCTTGCCAACACTCCAACAGCTCAACAAGTCATAAAAACCACTTGCCTCCATTCACTCCTAACTCACTCACACACATGCTGGATGTCCAAACCCCTCACATACAAAACCTTCTTTACCCCCCCTCCCTCCCTCCCTCCAACCTTCCTAAAACAACCCCTACCCAACCTTCCCTCCACTACAGATTTATGTGCCCTCCAAGTTCCAATTGTTCCATTCTCTCTAAATATTTGAACCATCTCAACAACCCCTCTTCAGCCCTCTGGATAATACATTTAGTAACCCCCACCTCCTAATCTCCAAGCTACGAATTCTCTGCATAATATTTACAACATACACTGCCCTCAGACACAACATCTTCACTGCCTCCAGCTTGCTCCTTGCAACATTCACTATCCATGCTTTGTATCCATATAAGAGCATTGGTACCAATACACTTACATACATTCCTATTTTTTGCCTCCATGGATAACATATTTTATCTCCAGATGCCTCAGTGCACCATTCACCTTTTTTCCCCTCCTCAATTCCGTGGTTCACTTCGTCTTTCACAGACCCATCTGTTGATAAGTCCACTCCCAAATATCTGAACACATTCACTTCCTCCTTTCACTCTATTATCCATCTTTTGTTACCTAATTTTTTTGTTACCCACCTTGCTCTTTCCTATGTTTACTTTAAACTTCATTCTTTCACACACTCTCCAAAATTTGTCCATCAACCTTTGTAATTTCTTCAGAATCTCCCAAAAGCACATTGTCATTGCCAAATAGCAACTGTGACAACTCCCAACTTGTATTAGATTGTGTGATGGAATATGCTGTTGTTCTTAATATGTAATTATCACAAAGAATAGAGCAACTGTAGATGTATACAGTTTTGCTTAATAAAAAAAATTCCCCATTACTGACCTATTTTCTCTCCATTGCCTTCTATTCCCTTCACTTCCTCCACTATCTAATCTCCCATTCCATTTTTCATGTACTTAACCATGCCAATTACAAACTCTGGCTAATTTTTGTTTAATTATTAAGCAAAATTGTATACATCTTTAATATATGTAACTTCCTACCTGGAGCCTTCTCAGTAGCCTCTGTAGTGACGTCAGTAATCCCCAGCTTCTTGATGCGTTCTTCACACCAGACTGTCCACTGACCAAACTGGTCGAGCCCTCCTAAGTCTGATCCTGCATAGTTTAATGAACACTTTAGAATTTATAACTTGCAGTATTTTCTATATTAATGTAACATTTGATGACAATGACAAAAACCCAAGTACAAGAAGTTCTGAGATAGAATAAAAAATGAATAAATAATTTGTGGCAAAAATCTATATAAGATTAATTTCTAAAAAAAAAAAAAAATGGTAGAATTACCGACAATATGTAAAGTAAAAGGACACAAGTGCAACTAATGTGACATTTATTGTGGCAACGTTTCGCTCTCCAGGAGTTTTATCAAGCTTGATAAAGCTCCTGGAGAGCGAAATGTTGCCACAATAAATGTCACATTAGTTGCACTTGTGTCCTTTTACTTTACAAAAAAAAAAAAAAAAAAAAAAAATGAAGATGAATAGTTTTCAAAGTTTTGCTATAAACCATAACAAAAAAGACCTGGAATTCCAAAATTTTTCTAAAAAAAATCTTTATATAACTTACCTGCTTTAGATCTGCCCTTTCTGAATGTCTGTAAAGACTCAACGTATTCTCCCAAGTTGAAGAGAGCTTTGCCGTGCACCAGGTTAGCCTCAGCACCTGCGCCTAGAGTCAGTGCCCGTGCTGCATCACTACTCGCTTCTGCTCACATAAATAATTATAATAATTTTATTTCAGCATGATACATGTTTCTACAAAGGAGTACAACAACTGGATATACATGCCAAAAGCCTTTTATATGTGGAGCATTTCAGGCAAACTTAAGATTAACTTAACTCTTTCAGGATCGAGACTCTCAATCCTTAACTCCCACTCAGGGTCGAAAATATTTGAAAAAAAAAAATCTACGAAATGATAGAGAATCTTTTTCCGATCATAATGACACCAAAATTATGAAATTTGATGGAAAACTTATGGAATTATGCCCTCATGAAGTTAGTGGTATCGGCAATATTTACGCATCAGCAATTTCGCCCACTTTGAGCCCTATTTCCAGCCAATTCCAATGTTTCAGTCTAGTAAAATAATAGCTATTTTGCTAGAATTCCATTTGTTCTATTGACTGAGTACAAGAAACCACCCATTTACCAATTTCAACTACCCAATAAAGTGGTCAGAAATTGGCAATTTGGCCAATTTCACACAAATTTCAAAAGATGCCAATTTCAAAATAGGGTCCATAATAAACAAGACAGACATTCCTGGCACTAAAATAACATTTTATCTGTTCATTAATCATGTCTCCAGGCACCTCTTACATTACTTTTGCTTTCCATTTTGAATTTTTATTCTCAAAAAAAAAAAAAAAAAAATAAAAGAAGATTTATTGTTATGTATACTACTGCATCATTGTAAAAATGGTATAAATAATATCAGTGCACTTGTGCAAGAATATTAGACTCACCAGTTAACGTGTATTGGACACGTGGCATGATTTGTTTATTCTTGAACATTGGCAAAAATCAAACATTTTCGCTACTTTGCGCTCAATTTCAAGGTATGTACCTGTCATCTTGAAACCAATTGAAATTATCTCTATTTCTGTAATATATCTTCCATTCTATCAAGTGAGACCAAGAAAATGAGAATACAACCATAAATACCATATGAAAATAGACTGCAAAGTCGCTGTTTTCAACCAAAAACACAGTCAGAGTTTTTTTTTTCTCATTATGCACTGTGTGCTGCAGGATTTTTTTTATATTGTGCACACTGACCACGCAGACCCATTCTTTCACATCTAGGCCTACCAGCCTTTTCCAGCTTGATTTGAGGGAGCTAGAATTTATGCGTACTAGGACATCACCAACACTAGTGAGTAAGACGTACTAGTACGTCAAAAACCCCGAAAGGGTTAAGATTAACAAGAAAATAACAGTGCAGTAATTCTGTACTTATGATCATTAGGTGTGTCACAATGAATACAAGAGAACTGAATATTAAGAACATAAGAGCATAAGAAAGGAGGATCACTGCAGCAAGCCTGTTGGCCCATACTAGGCAGGTCCTTTACAATCCATCCCACTAACTAAACATTTGCCCAACCCAATTTTCAATGTCTCAATCATGACCTGTTTGTACCCCACCCACAGTCATCTATGACCTGCGTGGATGAGGAGGCGGCTATACCCTGTGAGATCGCCAATAATTACTACGGCTACAACTACAACTACAACTACAGTCACCGCACCCCACCCAACTTGTTTACATTCTCAGGATTGGGGGTTGCGACACTCAAGGGGTTAATTTGAAAAAAAAAAATTATTTTAATATTTTTGAGTGTCTGGAATGGATTAATTTTATTTCCATTATTTCTTACGAGGAAAATGGTTTTGCCATTCAACAATTTCGTCATTCGGCAGACTTTCTGGAACGGATTAATCACGAAACTCGGGGGTCCACTGTATATATAAAATATGAAATAGCTTTTAAAAACACTTGAAATTTTGGAGTTTCCAGACATAACGGAGAGATGTGGTGCTTACTGAGCTCACGGAGAATGTAAACAAGTCGGGTGGGGTGCGGTGACTGTATTAGAAAGTCAGGTGGGGGGAGCCATATAGCAAGTTTTGGTCACAATTTGAAATGTCCGTATTAGTGGAACGCCATAAAGTGAAACACTGTAAAGAGGGGCCCTGCTGTACATAGTATCGTATCTTGGAAGGGATTCCTCCTGATTTGGAAATTTTCTTGGTTATGTGTTGGATGTAGGAATGAAATTTAAGATTACAGTCAAGGAGAAGACCTAGAAATTTACCCTCAGTGTGCCTTGATATAGGGGAACCATTTATGGTGTTGGATTGGATATCTAAGGCTCTCTTGCCAAACAGCATGAAGTATGTTTTGTCTATGTTGAGAGTGAGTTTGTTAGCTATCATCCAATTATATATCTAGCAGCTCGTTGTTTACAGTGTTTCTAAGTACAGCCGGGTTTGAATGGGAGTAGACATAAGTAGTGTCATCTGCGAACAGAACTGGTTTAAGGAGTTGGCTGTGTAGTGTAGCCCAGGGGGAGCTACATATGTGTACCTACATCTATCACTGCCTAAACTGACTTCCTACAAATAAATACTACTACTCACCTCTTGCCCTACATTAACTCTGACTGTTTTGGTCGTATACGTCTTATATATACGTGGTCATATATATACACGTTTGACGTATTAATACGCCAAAATTCTAGCGGCTTCAAATCAAACAGGAGAAAGCTGGTAAACCCACATGTGAGAGAATGGGTCTCTATGGTCAGTGTGCACCATATAAAAAAATAATCGGGGAGCCAGTGGTGCATTGTGGGAATGCCATTTCAGCAGTCCTTGTTCATCATTCCTAGCGGTAAGAAATATGTGACTCCCCGGCAAATCTGGGACTCTTCTCTTCCCAAGTGATGCTCTAACACAGATGGAAGTGTCAGTGAAGATCAATTTCATGGTTTTGAGGAGTTTGTGACCAAAAGCAATGCCCAGGATACCAGAAGAATGAAGGAGAATAAAAGAGAATGAGAGAGAATGAGAGAGAATGAGAGAGAATGAGAGAATGAAAGAGAAAGAGGAAGAAAGAAAGATATTAGGTAGGAGGATGGAGGGGAAGGAGCATCCGACCCCATTGTTTTGACAGGCAGTAGGGGGAGTGAGTAATTATACAATATGTCGTTTTGACAGCTGCCGGACCCTGACTCAGTACATTTAGAAGTCCACACACACACACACACACACACAACACACAAGCTTGCTGAAGATAATAGCAGTTATATGAAAGTGTCAAGTGACTATATATGTGTATATATATTATAGAAACCAGAAGGAAGGAAGGAAAGAATGAAGAAAGAAACAAAGAATGAATGAAGACAGAAAGAAAGGTAGGTAGGTAGCAAGGAATAATGGCACATTTACCTAGAAGAACTACCTAACACAACTGTCTGCTACTACTATGAAGAAAACTGCTCAGACGAGGTGTTTTGTCTGTGCACATAAAAAAAAAGCCCACAAAAATGCAGACTCATTTTATGTGTGAGGAGTGTAAAACATCCTTGTGAATGAAACCATGTTTCAAAGAGTTCCACAAGCTGCAGAACTTCTAGGAACATGTCCAGTGACTGTACATTTGTATATATATTATAGAACAACAGCAATAAAAAATTTTTTGTATTGTTTGTGTAAACAAGTTTTGTAAACAATATACTGATAATTGTTTGTGCACTTATCGTGTTGTATACAACGAGTGTATATATGTACATTGCACCTTACTTTGGTCTCACAGGCTACATAAGTTACCTGAAAAAATAAAGTACAGGTCCTCCATCACAAATCCGGCATCATTGGGACCTGTAGTGTGCCGGATTACTGAGTTTGCCGAATTACAGAGTGGTTAAGTTAGAATACACTTAATAAAATTAACCAACTTGACTTACACAGTTCATTGAACATCAGCAAAAATCGAGCATTTCCGCTACTTTGAGCTCAATTTCAAGGTACTTTTTATCGTGAAAGCAATCAAAATCATGTCTATTTCTGTAATATATCTTCCATTCTATCAAATGAGTCCAAAAAATGAGAATACAGTGGACCCCCGCATAACGATTACCTCCGAATGTGACCAATTATGTAAGTGTATTTATGTAAGTGCGTTTGTACGTGTATGTTTGGGGGTCTGAAATGGACTAATCTACTTCACAATATTTCTTGTGGGAACAAATTCGGTCAGTACTGGCACCTGAACATACTTCTGGAGTGAAAAAATATCGTTAACCGGGGGTCCACTGTACAACCATAAAAACCATACGAAAATATACTGCAAAGAGGCGGCTAATGGCTGAGAAGTGAACTCCCTTATTATCGTCCGTCTTTTTTATTTTTGTTGTACGTTAAGAAGCACCTTTCCATCATACATTGCCCAAGTTTCAACGAGATAGCCCAACAAACAACCGAGAAAAAAATATATTTACCAAAAATCATATATGGCAAGCCCAAGCCAGGTACTGGAAATAAGTCACTTTGTCTGACTTTTCTGGGTTATCCCAGGTTCTCTATACATACACTGCTATGTATGATAATCTATGTAACTGTATTTGTGTATACCTGAATAAACTTATTTACTTCTAGTCTGTCAATTGAGTACAAGAAACAGCCCATTCACTTATTTCAACTACCCAATAAAGTGGTCAGAAATTGGCAATTTGGCCGATTTCACACAAATTTCAACAGATGCCAATTTCAAAATAGGGTCCAGAATAAACAATGCAGACATTCCTGGCACTAAAATAACATTTTCTGTTCATTAGTCATGGCTACAGGCCCCTCTTATATTACTCTTGCTTACCATTTGGAATTTTTATTCACAAAAAAAAAAAAAATAAAAGATTTACTGTTATGCAGACTACTGCATTATTGTAATAATTGCATAAATAATGTCAATCCATTCTTGACTCCGTACTGGAATTTAGACTGGCAGGTGGACAGGTATTGGACGATTTGTTTACTCTTGAGCTTCGCTAAAGAATAGAACATTTTCGCTACTGTGAGTGCAATTTCAAGGTACTTTTCGTCATGAAAGCAATCAAAATCATATCTACAGTGGACCCCCGGTTAAGGATAAATAAATATACAAGGTATGATGTAGCACGTAATGAAAGTAGTTTATTA